GAAAGATCTTCTACTGTAAGAACATGACTTTATAAAGTGTTCTTTGTCCTTCACTTCATTCTTTGAACATACCTCACATATTCTTTTTTCTTATGAAGTTTGGGTTTGGTATGGCTCCACTTTTCAATTTGTTATTGGTGGTTATTAAGGTCAAATCTCGTGAGACATTCACAAAGTTCTACATTTGATAAGGTTGATATTTTTCCATACCAGATTTTTAAATTCCCTGTATGTTTATAGTTTATTTTTACCTTTCTGGTTATTAATTCTACTATTGTTGTTGAAAGTTTCTTCATTCCAATGCAAATTGAATATTTTTTTAAATTCATTATGTTTTATTTTTACATCAGATTTTGAAATTGTACTTTTTTGGTCTATAATCTTCAAATGAGATTATATTGTGCTATACCATTTTGTATTGAGTTGTCTTTTGACAATATTTTTCTTTTAAAATATTATTTGATGCATTTATGACCCGGTTATAATAGTATTTAGTCATTTGTTTTCAAATATAAACATCGATTGGGGAATCTGCCTAGTTTGTATATACTAATTTGGGTGTATTTTTTGTACAAATCTACCAAAGCTAAGATGCTACTTTCAACCTTTGAATGGTATAAGCTTTCACCCCCTCCCAGATATTACTGCCATAGACTAATATCTGACAGACTAATTCATCAAAAAGGGACATCCACGTTTTTAGATTAGATTTAGGTTAGATCCTATTTTTGCCCTTTCTGTTTTAGAATCTTAATGGCTGCTTTAATTTTCCATTGCTGCTTAGTAACACTCCTAGATAATTAAATTGTCTGACTACGTTGACTTCTTAATTTTTGTAGAAAAGTCGGTTGCTTTTGTTGAAAACCATAACTTTTGTCTTCTCAACATTGACTGTTAGCTTCCATATTTGTGTTTGCCAGATTATCTAAACAGTTTTGTAAACCAGTGTTACTTTAAGATAGGATGATGATGTCATCAGCATACATTAGGCAGCTTATTTATTATTCATTAATGTATGTGGATTACAAGTGACAGGATTGAAAATAAATATATTGAAGAGTGTGGGGCTGAAAATACAACCTTGTTTGACTCTTGTCTGTGATGAAAATGGTTTTATTAGTTTGATCACCATTCACCTTTATTTTGTAGTTTACCTTACCTTACCTATATTACCATTAATGCTTGATTTCACTAATCTTAAAAACATTCCCTTATGCCATACATAACGTATGCCTTTTTTAGGTCAATGAAGCATGCGGACACCTTTTTTGGCTTTTTAGTCCCTGTTCGGAGGCAGTCCGAAAACGGGGACTATGTTTTGACCTCTGTGCGTCCATGTTTCTGTCCGTCCATGCGTGCATGCATCTAGACCTATATCTTAGAAATGCCTGGACCAATCACAATCAAACTTCACACATACATCATACATGATATTATACATATGCACATCAATTTGTTTCACGATCTGATTTAAGATGGCTGAATGGTGGCCATTTTTGTGCTCAAAATCATCAAAATCAAGCATTTCTCGGCTGTTTACAGATGGATTTTGTTCAAACTTGGTATATATGCTGAACATTATAGGACCTTGGTGCACATCATTTTGTTTTCAGATATGATTCAAAATTGACGACTGACGACCATTTTGTTTTAATAAATGTGGTTCTATTGCAATATCTCTGACTTGCTGTGACTGATTATGTTCAAATTTTAAATATTCATTATACATCATGTCATAGATATACAGATATATTGGTTTGACGATCCTATTAAAAATGGCTGAATGATGGCCATTTTTGTGTTAAAAAATCATCAAATATCAATCATTTCTGGCATTTATAGATGAATTTTGTTCAAACTTGGTACATACATTAGACATTACGAGTTCCTGATTCACGTTATTTTATTTTTTAGATCAGATTCAGAATGGCTGACTAGTGGCCATTTTGTTTTAATGAATGGGCTTCTAGAGCAATATCTCTGACAGGCTTTGACTATGCTCAAATTTTATATATTCATTATACATGTATTCAAAATGGCTGATTTTGTTTTAATTAATGCTGTTCCAGAGCAATATCTCCCAATATCTCTCAATACTCGTTTGATGATCAGATACAAATGTCAATCATTTAAATGTTAAACAATCATCATAGTCATATTCTTGACATGGTTATATTCCAGCTATATTACTATAAACAAAACTATATATCTTAAATTCGATAACAAACAGGAACTGTGCCATGCATGGCTTGTTTGATTTCACTGTTGTAGTCACTGTTGTATCGCAGGGATAGTCCATATAATATAGGTATTTATGTATAATCATTATATATAAATAGATTGTCCGTTGTGCGGCAACTCTTTTTTAATCTAAACTGGTTATTTGACGTGTTTTCTCTATTTAGAAATTAATTAAATGTGATTCTTTCATTTGTGA